GATTGTCTGGAGTCGGGGTTTTGTTTGTGTGTTTCCACAGGGAGAACAGCCGATTTGGATTCCAGAGAGATTAACTAAAACAGTTTCTACAGATCGAAAAGAAGATGATTTGACTCAAATCCATAACAGCTGATATCCAGAACTCCAGCTTGGCCATTCTTACATCTGCGACAGTGATTAACCAGGATGCTTTTTTCAATAGCTATTTTATTATTGCATTTTTCCACATCATAAGGTTCTATTTTTATTTTTTGAGCTCATACAAACCTAGGTTAATGTTTTTCTGATCAGTTTTATTTTTTGACTGTGGAGTTTTTAAACATTGCAATGGAGATTTCACCCAGGTAAAGCTACAAGGCCTTTACTATTTTCTTATGTGTTGTACGTTTGTGTACACTCTTGTGTTTTGTGTTGTATGTCTGTATGTGCGTATGTCCATATTTCTTATATGAGGAGCGCTCATGAAAAAATGGATCCGAATTATTATTATTTTTTTATTCACGTGATTTAAATGGTTTAATTTAAATTAGGTAAACAGCTGTTAAGGATTGTTTTTAAAGGTGGTTAACAGATCTGTTTGTTTACTAATTTAAATTAGGTAAAAATCTGTTAAGGATTGTTTTTAAAGTAGGTTAACAGATCTGTTTGTTTACTTTCACCTTTCCTTTTCATTATATTTAATAATTCTTTTCAGGATAATGTCTCTTTAGCATCATTGCCAGAATTCCTATCTCCATCCCAGTGCCAGTGAAGAACTCAACAAGTAATGCTCAATCAAAGAGTCAACTTACTTTGGGAGGAAACGGATTTTGGGAGGAAATGGACATATTGATAGATTCCTCTGCTTTGAACTGCTTGCAGAACTTGCCTGGACTATGTAACTATCGTTTGGTGCAGCAAATTGTGGTAATGCTGGCATATCTTTGCTGATGGTGTCACTAGTGATGCAATTTTTATTTCCTTGCCAGCGCACCCCATGTTAATTGTGGTAGTGCTGACATATCTTTGCTGATGGTGTCACCAGTGATGCAATTTTTCCCAAGGAGCCGTCAATTGGCTTGGTGTCGTGGCATTTCTGTATCCTCCTCCCTTCTGCTAGTGATGGTCTAAAATTTGGGGGCCAATGGCTTATGCTGGACCGGTAGTCAGTGACGGGTATGATCCAATTGCAGTGGTATCAACCTAAGACAGGAGGCTGATGCCTAAAGGTCAGTTTTCCGATGACGGGTAAGAACCATATGTTGAATTGGACAACCTACCAGGCACGGTCCATAAGCCACATTAACCTCACTCCCCCACTGGCACCAAGGCCAAATTTGGGGGCCAACAGAGGTGAGGCAAAGAACCTCACCCCCCCACTGGTGCATAGACCTATCCACAAGTATGGCTGTATGCTGGACCCATAGTCAGTGACGGGTATGATTCAATTGCAGTGGTATCAACCTAAGACAGGAGGCTGACGCCTAAAGGTCAGTTTTCCAATGACGGGTAAGAACCATATGTTGAATTGGACAACCTACCAGGCACGGTCCTTAAGCCACATTGCTTGTTGTTTAATTAATCAGAAGGGGGGAGATGCTGGGAGCCATTAGCCAAGTAGGTATGACAATTTCCTTGCCAGCGTACCCCATGTTGCAGTGACATTGAATGTACGTGACGTTGCTCAAGGACCAAGGCAGATTAGGGCGTTCCCAGTTTAGGTTCCAGGTTTAAGGTTTAAGATTATTCCTGCTGGGAATAGGGCGTATCCTGCTGCCTCAGTTCCCCTTGAGTTCTCACGGGATTCAGACAGTATATTTTGGAGATAGAAGCCCAGTGGAGGTGAATTTGGGAGAGAAGGGGGATTTGGGCAGAGAACGTGGATTTCCCCAGAACGTGATTGTAGATGGCTGGTGTGAGTTTGGAAATAAAGAGTTGCTGTTTGAATCTACAAGCTGTGTGGTGGCTCGTGATTGTGTGCCCAGCCAGACTGTGGCAGTCCTCAACCTATGGTTCTATTGAAAGTGGTGGGACCTTAAGGTGGGGAACTGGGGTAGCAAGGTAGGCCACTGGGTTGTGTCCATAAAGGGAATATTGGGACCTCAATCCTCCTCTCTTGGCTGCCATGAGTTCTACAGTTTCTCTCAGCATGTACTTTCCACTGATGTACTGTTTCTCCACAGGTCCTAAAGCAATGAGACCAACTGATCATGCACTGCAACCACTTCAACCATGAGCCAGATATCTTTTCTCCTTATAGGTTGATTATCTCAGCAACAGAAAGCTGACTAACACACTTGTTTATTTGTGTTCTGTTGTCTACAACTTTGAGATATGTTGTGTTTTCCTTTCAAATAGGTTCCCAGTGCATAATCCCATATTGGTAAGTATGGGAAAGTTTCTATAGTAAATAAATCTAGTTACCTTGGCTCAGTTCAGAGTTCTCTTATGTTGATCTTAAGACCTTATTTTTCAATTACACATGTTAAAGTGTGGTAGAACTAGATTCTAGAGAAAACTTTTTTTTTTTTTTTTTTTTTGACAAGTGCAGGTTTAAGTTGATGACTGGAGTTAGTATGTAGTAACTCTGTAAGAATGTAAATCTGTGCTCTTCAAAAGGCTATTACTAAACATACCACACAAATAGGAAAACAGAGAATGGTAGATATAAAGTTTTGTAATTCTATCTCTACTGCTAATTATATTAACACAACTATTAATATATTGTTGTACACTTCCATCCTTCTCTAGAAGTTACATCTTCCTACACTAAAATTCTGTGTTCTTTTTTATCCAGCATTCTCTCATAATCATTCTTCCATTTCACAATTTACTTTCTTCATGATTTTCATTTGTAGTGATCATGAGTTATTCTCTCATATAATGCCCACAAATATACCTATTTATTGGATATTTATGTTATTATTTTCATATTTTGGAATATGTCCCTAGAATATTCTGCCTACTAAATTAAATGTTATTAGTGATTTTAATGTAAGTTATGAAGTCATTTCTCAATGTTATAGAAAAATTTTTAATTGATCTATTGATTGATTGGTATATTCTTTTAGTCTTTCAAATAAACACAAACTTAATAAGTTTCTAATATTTGCCAGATACTTTGGTATATGGAAGAAACACATGATCTTCATTCAAATGATTTTAATTCCTATGGGCCAGCATTACTTAAGGATCCCAAGGACAAAAGGACTGACTTGTTCAAATTTTTATTGAGAAGACATCATTGTTAGTTTGCTAATTCCCTTTGAGAATTTCCTTCTTTCTTTTCCTTTCCCTCCTCTACTTCTCACTTGTATAGGTGTCCTGGGGTCAGTTACTGATTTCCTCCTTTGTCAAATGAGAATAATTGTATCTATGCCAAGGGATTGTTGCCTGAACTCAGCATTGTATGTCCCAAGACAGTGCCTAGTATATAGTAAGCACTCTCTACACATTACTTGTTATTGTTCTTATTTCTATGATAGAGAAAGTGAAATAAATCCTCTCAATTGTCCCAAGGAATGGACAAGTAAGAACTGTGGCATCATGTCCATCTTTTAAGAAGCTGTTTGTGTATTTAAACAAACAAATGACAAAGCAGTAAATTTCATCTTTCTTGCAAGTATAGAGGAACAGATGAATTAGTACACAGACAGTAGGATTTTGTTTGTTCTTACTGTGGCAAATTGTTGCTAAATGTTACAAAGGTCTGCTAAGTCCAGAAAAAGAAAATATATGCCATTCAGTTTTTGGTTACCTGTAACCTAGGAAAGTTTCTAAATTTAAGATATGGGAATGGTGACAGTGTGCTTGAAATTATATGTGTTAAAACATCTACATTGTACCCTAAGATAAACTTAACTATGCTGAATTGAATTGATAGCAGTCTGATAGGTGTGCTGAATGATCAAGCCACACAACTCAGCCTGCTGTTTAATCCAACTTGTGTTCTAATCAAATTTTTAAATAAGTCCATTCTTCCTTACATGTATGTATAATATACATATGGTATTTATTTTCATTTATATTTCTAGGCTTTGTTCTAAGCCTTATCATTAACAACATATATTTGAGTAAAGAAATATGTGGCTAGGTAAGTTCTATGGATGGTATATAAATTGAAATTCACATTGTCTTGATTTAAAAAGGCTAACTCAACAAGGATGCATATCTTAAGATGTCTGACATATGTATGTCAATCAACAAACTATTGTTAGAAATTACATATGACACAAAAATTCTAAGTTTTATTTATTCCATTGTTATCACACCTATTTTTGCCATCTGCTACATATAAAAGTATGTACCATATGTTCTTACCACAGAAGCAAGTCAGGGTGGTATATGGCAAAATTATTCCAAGCTGCCAAAGGAATAAAAATACTTCACTGTCATAGCTTTACTTTCCTACAGATCAGTCCATACATCGATGTTTTCATTGTCGGGGTAAAGTCGCTTTCTTAAATACTTACATCTTAAATAGCTACAAGATATTTTTTAAAATCCCAAAGTCTTTTGTACTCCATTAGACCTGTACGAAAGGAAAAGAATACACTGAGCCCTGATGCAATTCTTAGGTGACAGAGAAGTGGGGAAAGGCCAGAAGGTTTCAGAACAAGCAGCGAAGTCAGTGAAGCAGGAAGTAAATTCAAATATTTGGCCAATGACAAGTAAACCAGAAAGGAGACACGCCAGCTGTTCACCCTGGAAAGTTACCGAACATTTATTCTGGTCCAAGTTTTATTTATTATACGAAAAAGGAACAAGTTTTCTATGGGGGTGGAGTCTCTTACTCCTTATTGGATAAATAAGGAACTAAATTTCCCTGTAGGTCGATATTGCCTTAGGGGTTGCGTCTACAGGCCCCTTTCTTCCTAGGAATAATAATGTAATGCCCATGGGCAAATGTTCTGGTGGGACTGCCGCCTTGGGGACATAACCCCTAGACACCTCTCCTAGGGCGGCTGTGGGGCTGTGGTCTATCGCCTGCGCTCAACCTTGGAAGTCAGGCCACACTGTTTGCAAACTCTCCTCTCAAACTCCATCTTCTGGAGCAGGGCAGTGAGCTGCGCCGCACCCTCTTTCCCGCTTGCTACCTCTGAGCGGCTGCGGATGGTGAGGCTTAGGCGGCCAACACAGGCAGCAAGTGGCGCTTAGCACTGAGCACCCAGCCAATGCTGTTGTGCCTCTTTCCTTCAGGAGGCGGCGGTGCAGAGCCTAAGCCCGAGCCCGAGCCCCAACACGAGCCAGAGCCCCAGCCCGAGCCGAGCCCAAGCAGGAGCTCAAGATCAAGCTGGAGTCCAAGCCCCAACCGGAGCCCAAGCCCGAGCCCAATCGGAGCCCGAGCCGGAGCCAGAGCCCGAGCCGAGATGGGTCTCGCCTTTCTTGGAAGCCTTTTGAGTCAGCAGGCGACGTCGCCCGAGGCTCCGCCTCCGCTCCTCCCCAAGCAAAGTAACAAAGTAACTGAGGAGCAGCCTCTGCCGAGTGAGCAGAGCTGCGGCTGTGGGCAGCCAGCCGCACAGAAGACCCTTTGGGCCCCGAGGTAGTTTGGTTTCTTTGAAGAGGAAAGAGGGGTTGGCGGGCAGCTGTGGAGGCTCCGCCCTGAGCCTGCGAGGCCCAGCTTGCTACTCCCTGGTGGATTCCACAGCCACCACCACCCCCCCACCCCACCCCCACCCCCGCAACTCTTTGCAAAGCTGCTTGAAAAGTCTCCACATGGATTTGGTGGCAGCGGCGGCGGCACTGTCTGCTTTTGTGGCGCTCTTGTTTCTCTCCCTTTGGCCTCTTCTGGGGCCAGACCAAGGCCAGTTCTCTGCAGCTGAGTGTCCCTGGTGGCTTGCGGGTGGGTTGGGCGTCCGGCGCCCCGACGAATGACCCCAGCCCCAGCCCCGGGATTGTGCGATGTGGAGCTGGCTCCTTGTCTGGGCGGGGAGCAAGGATTTGGGGAAACTTTCGCGGCCCTCTGAGGTGAGGTGGTCACAGGGTAGAAGAAGAGATGACCTGGAGTTTGTGTCACATGGGACGCAGGACACTGAGCTGGGCTCCACTTGGCGCAGGTAACTTTGGTCTTCACGATCCGATCCAGTGTTCTTCCCTGAGGCTCTCTTGGGGAGCAGGTTGGCACGACTGTGCTGTAGTGTATGGAGACATTGCTTTTCCGGGGGAACTAGTGGCCTTGGTGTCCAGCGCAGGCTGCACTAGGTTATCGGGGAAGAGAGAAAGAAAGAGTAGGTAGGTTTCTGGGGACAACTGCTCTGTTACTCGCGGTGCTGGATTGTTGCTGTCTGCCACCAGAGTGTTCCAAAAATGCTCCGGGGAAGCCATTGTCAGAAACGCAAAGGCACTGACTGACCTTGGCGCTGTTTGCCAGGTGCTTTTGTCTTGGGAATAACCTTCCTTGACTCTTGTCCAACTACTTCCCCATCTCTCCCCTAGTCCCCATTCTCCTCTCCCAGCGCTGCATTGCTCCTGGGTTGGTCCTGTGGGTTAGGGCACTGCTTGGAATATGTGTTTGTTGGCAGAGTCTTTTAAGATGTTTTGATTCTAAGGATCTCTGCAGAATTGTCCTGTGCAGCCAGGTCTGGGCGCCCAGTCCCAGGATCCTGAGCAGTGTAGGAGCCCGCTCTTCTGCAAAGCCAAGGAGAAGCTGGCTCCCCACCTCTCAGAGCCAGCCTGCTTGATGGTGGCTCTAAACAACTACTGGTCACTGGGGAACCCTGAAAGAGGGATGAGAGGGGATGAGAGTGGTCTTTCATATTAGGCCTTTGGGTTCTAAGGAAAGTCATTCAAATGAGTCCATGACCTCTGTTTTCCTGGACCCGTCCTCTGTTCTCTTCCAGTTTTGTTATTCTTTCTATAGGTTGGTTGCTTCTATCCTTCTCTCCTCAGGGGGGTGGGGGCTCTGAAGTTTCACCAGGTGGACGCTGGGGAGTGGGCTCCAGGGCGCTTTTCTGCCTCCCACTGATTATGACAAGTTTTCTGGCTAACCCACCCAGCTCAGTTTGGCTGGTGGGCACATCTGCTGCCTTGGTTCCAGGTGCAGATGGAAACGCAGCAGTGGCCAAGAGCTGATGGTGAAGAAGGAAAAAGTGACAGCGACGCTCCTGGCTGAGCCTGCAGGATACAGAGAAAGAACTTATTTTGTCCTTGACAATTTCTCTCATTGTTGTGACTACCTGGTTTCCTGGAAATAAATTCACATTGCTTTCCAGAGACATTATTTATTTACTTTCCATCTCCCCACCGCCCCCCAGTAGAAAAGGAGTAAGACCACAACCTGAGTCTGATCAAGTGGCAGCATGTACTGTCCACCCAGGCAGCGGTTATGAAATGACAGCACGCAGAAGGAAAGCCATGTATATATTCGATGGGCATAGAGGGCAACAGCTCTATGCAATGAGTGATCAGGTGGCTTAATTAAATTCTCTTTGGACTAAGTGTTACTGCATGCATCATTATTCAATTCCATGTTTTGAACCATGCTTGATGTGACTCATTATATGTGACTCATTATATGCAGGCAAGTTGGAGAGAGCATTGATTTGTGCACACTGTTTGTCATTCCACGGAGAGCCTAACTTGAACGGGCATGTAGTTTGTTAATTGAATGTTTGAACTCTACCAGTTGTATGATTAAACTCACATGTATTCAAGAGTTGTAACTTAATGCCCCAACAGCTGATGGAAACTTTTTTGTAAACAAACTTTTTAAAAGTGTTATTAATCCTTTCATGAACAAGTAAATATTAAACAAATGCAGAAGTGCTTTTCTAATACCTGCAGTTAGATTTCTCAAATGAACAACCAGATTCTTAGATATTCAGTTCTAAGTGATTTAGCTAATATGACTGGATTTTCTTTAGTGGCAAAACATAACATTTGACTTTAAGTTAAATTTTATGCACAGAATGTACAGTCCTAACAAATGCAATTCTCACAGGATTGTATCTCAAAAATTTGCCAATAGTATCTACATATAGATCTGTATATGAGTTAAGCCTGTAGAAGCGTCATGGCAAATTTTCCTACTATTATAACTATGGAAAAAAATTAAATCACGTCTTTGGCCTTTTGTTCAACTGTTGATCCAGCTTTTTCACTTTGTGTGGAGAATAAATTGCAGCTTTTAGATGCAGTCTTCTCAATGACCTAGAGAGGGACTATTGTCTCTTTAGTGTGATGCAAGTCCGGAAATGCAGCTCAAGATCAGTCTGGATGCCAGTTCCTGGCAGGTCCCAATGCAGATCCCTGAGGACCTTGCAACTCATTTAAGCAGTGCCACTTCCCTTGTTCCTGACTCCTTGTTATCTCTGACACAAAATTAATTGCTCTTATGATTATTTCCTATTAGGGAGAGTCACTGTAGCTTGTTTGTTTTAAGGTTTGCCTTTTACTTTTCTGGTTTTGATTGGCCAGCATCCTTGGTGCCTCCATGCCTTCAAACTCCAAGTTCTAATCACTAGTAATGATATGTAACTGCACATTTCTGGGACTGGTTTTCCTCTCCCTAGTTCCCTTATATCTGACTGCTGATTTTCCTAGATTGTGAGATGTCATTTGTGTCTGGCCTGCCAAGATGGAAGGAGGCAGGTTGGGCTGCTCTTTGGGCATTGGCATGTGTGCAGTTGACAGCTCTTCTCTTGGTGAATTTGAAAAATAAATCAACCCCTCTGCTATTCCACCCCTCTCCCACACTTCCTCCTACTCCTCTAGCAACAAAAAGTTCCACATACATCTATACAAACTTACAACAACTTTTGTGTTTTCTTTTGGAGCCAGATATATCTTAAAAATTGGCAATAGGACTATCCACTACCCAAGGTCAATACCAATTCTCCCATCCAATCTTACATGTCCAACAATGATGACTGATTACATATTTTATAGCCTTAAATATATAGTCATCCAGCATAATTTCATATAGAGGAAGTGTGTTGGTTCCTACTAATATTTTTGAAGTGCATATTTTTGAAGTTTACTCCAGGTGTTATTAAAGAGAGTGAATCATACTAAATTTGGATCTGTGCTGCTCCCAAGTCTCTTATTTGCTCTTCATGAAGGTCAGGAAGAGGAATGTTGGAAGGTGGATAACAGGAAACATCAAGGGAGTTTACAGATTATCCTTACAGACAAAAGAAAGAGCACAGGGATTGTGTGTGTATATGTGTATTTTTGCTCTCTTTGTTAACAAGGAAAAAAAAGTCCTATTTTTGACTTATGTATTGGGATCAGCCTTTGACTTTGTCCAAACAGATTTATTTCTTATTCTGTCAATGTAAAAATTTCCCTCTGTGTATTCCTTTCAGACTCTCCCATTTGATCATATGTATTTGGTCTGTGTTCTTATACCAAATGATGTTTCTCTACCTAACAAGGTTGTAATTGCTTTTGAAACTGACTTGTTTTTTCATCAGAATCCATGCTGTTTGTCATGGTTACTGAAAAATAGTACAAGACATATCAATTTATGATATATCTTTAAATGGTATTTGATAACAAAGTGAATAATACATCAGACAGGCTACTTTTTATTTCAGCTGAAGTCAAAAGCAAACCTCCATATCTATGAAATAATCTTTTAATGTCATAGAATGTTTATTTGTTATGCTTACCTGTTTGTAAATGAAAGAGAGACTTTATGTTTCATTTTTTAAATGGGAATGGAAAACTAGAGTACTACATTGGCTGATTATTTTTGAAATAAGTGAAATAAATTACATTAAATGAAATAAGTTACATAAAACTACATTTTGGAAAACTTCTTTAAAATTTTTTTAATATTTACAATGTGAATTCTGAGGTAGACAGTTCACAAACTTGATACTTTATCTTATTGACAACATGTTTTATGAAAACATTCTTAAACAATGTAGCTGCACATAAGAAGTCTTGTAAGTTCTGTGAAGACTTTATTTTCAGAGGTGTGTTTATTTTCCTTTTAGATTCTTGCAGCAATTCTTTTGATTTGCAGTTAATATTTTGGTAATAAAAACTGAATTTACATAATTAAAAACTTGGTTCTTTGAGGTTTTCCCAGATTGTTGAGACCAGGCCTGGGATGTGAGATTGTATTGATTCTGTGGTGGAACATTGGCGCTTCTCCACTTCACTCTCGTTGAACTTTCTGGTGCTCTTCTTTGTGTGTTGATAATCCATAAAAATTCCAAGTGGCTTATTTTGCCACTTACAGTTGTTTTAGGAACAAATTATGTCATCCTAAAGAAATTATTTGTGTTTCTGCTTGAATTGTTGAGTTCTGTTAATAAAAGTGATGTGGGCAGTGCTGATTAAATTCTTCAGGTGTCATTCTAGTAATTTTAATGAGAGAAATTTGGAAATAAATACAATGATACAGCATATAATTATTTCTTACATTTATTTTGTTGGGAAAGCTGAAAATTGATTGTATCTTAACAGTGATAGTATTTCATTGTCCCAAGTTCTAGGTTTGAAAGAAGCTACAGGCATTCAGGGATAGGATTCAAACTTTGTATTTATATTTTTGGGAAGACTGTGGAAAATAGCTCATTATTTTTCTATAGTTGGAGAAACTGAAGTGGAAAATAAACTGTATAGAATCTATATAGTCATCCTTCCCTACCACAGTCTATCTTCTGCTTTTTTTAAAAAAAAATTTAGTTGTAAATGGACACAATATCTTTATTTTTCATTTATGTATTTTTATATGGTCCTGAGAAGCCTCATGAATGCTAGGTGAGTGTTCTACCACTGAGCCACTACCCCAGTCCTCTCCTCTGCATTTTAATGAGAGAACAATCAGTCTTCTTTCAGATTCGGATCTATTTATATAAAACCTTCCAAATTAATTCTATTCCTTAAGCAGTTGTTCAGGCTGATTCCCGAACCCTGTTCAAGGCAGTAGCTGACCAGCCACAGAAATCCTCCTAATCCTAGCTGGACAGTGAGTGACCCAGCAGCTGCTTAGGTGGTGTTCTTGTCACAGATTCTTGTAGTGATTTGCCTTGGGTCATTCAGCAAATTCAAAAGGAGAGAGGAAGCCTTTCTAGGGTCCCTACTATCACCCAGGGAATGATGGCTGACTGCATTATGACCATTGGGTTCTTGCGCTGCAAGGTGCCCTAGGGTTTTGCTACTTGGAATTTGGTCATGGACCAACAGCAGCAGCACCTGGGAACTTTTGATGATTTGTGATCAGAACCAATGCCAGACCTACTGGTCAGAATTTGTGTTTTAGTAAAAATCCTTGGGTGATGTTTTTGAATATTTGATTTTTTATCAACTAAAAGATTTTTTTTAAAAATTATGTTTTGGGCTGGGGATATAGCTCAGTTGGTAGAGTGCTTGCCTTGCATGCACAAGGCCCTGGGTTGAACATTTAATTTTGAGAATCATTGCTCTAGGACAAAGTGAGCTTAAAAAGATGGCCACATGCACTTTGTTGTAGAATTGTAAGACTGTTGTGAAAGATAAATTATGACATGAAACAAATTTCCCTGTATTGATATTTCACATTTCAGACACATCAGAACAATATGACATAGGCTTTTTTAAAGAAACCTCAGACAATATGAAGTAAATATTTTCATAAGAAAAGAATAATAAGTCTTAGTAGTTTGGGTTATGAGTTTTTTGTATAAGAATGTTTAGAGGTAACATACTATCTAAGGAGCCAAATGGGCTATATGCAAATCATTTTTACTTAGCATAATGTTATGTTGGTACAGGAAATAGCATTGCCTTTTGACATTGTTAAGTTTCTTGATTTATAACACTTTTTTTCTTCCAAGTATAATCTAAGACCTTTTTAATAAGCAGTTGATTTATAGGACAGTCAAATTTAATGAAAGAGAGCTAGGTAGAATGCATTAACTATCATAGCATTATTTTTATCATCTTTTATGCTCGTATTTAAGAACAGGAATTCTTGTCAGTTTTCTCAAGAGAAAAACTATGATGTAATGACACTATTCATATCAAAACATAATTTTGCTTGCATTTTATAGCTTGCTTTACCATTCTTTTAGAAAATGATTTTTTCCCAGAAGACCTAATTGCCTTCTTATTAATGAGCCTGTAAGTGGTTTTTGTTATCCGTATCCTATTCTAAATGTATCTTCTTGTTCTAGCTGTTTCAGCAGTGAGGTCTCTGATTAAGTCACAATTGGTATATTTGTTTTTGCCATTCACTAGTGATTCAGAAAAATATAGGCAGAATGACATGGCTATTTCAGGGACTACTAAAAGGCAAGAAGTATAAATTAATGTTAACCCATAATAGTTGGTCACATTTTGACATAGGCTGGATTTGGGTGCAATATATGGCTGCATTCTCTGTATTTTTATACTATCATTGAAAATCTACTTACTTTGCACAAAATTCAAAGAACATAGTTTTTAGATTCATAAATAGTCAACATGACCCCTGTATTTACTTAATTCTAACATTCATGTTTGAAGAAAGAGTCTCATTGAAGACAGATCACTAAAAGGGGAGAGCTAGTAATGGAAAAACTCTGAAAGTCACTTTCATACATCCCCAAGAGTTATAGTGTTCTGACTTGCTACTTTTAAAATTTTACTCCAAATTCTAGAGCTTGTCTTTTTTAATGCCTCTACTTTTATTCCTGTCAACAATAGTAAGGGTTATTTGTTCTTTCATGTGTTAAAGAGGACAGTTTTTCCCAAGTCGATTGCAGAAACAGTGATAGGATCTACCATTTATGGAGGGCCTGTGACCTGCCAGCCCTTATCATCAATGCCTTACACATTTTCCATTCCTTACAATAAAACTTTCAGATTGGAATCATCTCCATTGCAGAAAAGGCTGAGAGGGGGAAGTAATAGCTGGCCCTAATATGCTGTGTGAGGAGTGGGTCAAGTCAAGCTTCCATGCACAAATACATTCAATGTATACTGAAAGCAAAGTTTTAGACTCCAAAAACTCTAGAGTGCAGGTATTTAAGAAGCACTTACTATTGTACTTCATTGGTCTCTAGCACTTCTTCAAGATTTATTTTAACTTTTCTTTCTATTGTTACCAGATTTATATTTAGATTTAAAAAGGCATGTGGAGCTGAAGATGGATCAGGCTTTGCTACTCATCCATAATGAACTACTGGGAACAAACTTGAGTCTTTAATGGAAATCGGAACGCTGTTACCGTGTATGTATCGTGTTCGAACTCATAGTTTTGTTTTCCTTGGTGCTTATTTAGTATGATCCTTAATGCCCTCACATCTAAGGCCCTTTACAAGTTACTTTCAGTTTTTATAGGTAAGGAAACAGACAGGTTATAATAAGGAGTTAGAAGAAATGTAATCAAGGGAGAGTACCTGGGTCATCTCTGAGGACAAGCATAGTGAGAACAGTAGGAAGGTGCAAGTTGAGGGAAAGAGCATTATTGCAGGAATCTGCCTCTTTGAAAATAAAGATTTATGTATGTAGGTGTGTACTTATTTATTTATTTTTGTGTGTGTGATACTGGAATTGAACCCAGGACCTCATATATAGTAGGCAGGAGCTCTAAGACTAAGCCACATCCCTAGTTCTTTTTAAATTTTATTTTGAGAGAGGGTTTTCCTAAGTTGTCTAGGCTGGCCTTGAGCTTGTGATACTCCTCAGCTTCCCTGGTAACTGGTTCAGGTATACACCACCATGCCCAACTGTAAACAGCTTTCCAGAACCAAAATCATCAGTACAGGCATCAGCTGAAAAGATGATGGACAGTATACAATACCCCTGTATTTGATTAAACCCGTCGAAAAATCTATGAAATAAGAAAACCTGGAATAGTTAAAAACAAAAGTAGCTCAAGACAAAATTTATTAGCCAGGAGCTGTGTTGTGATGCAGTGGTAGAGTACTTGCCTAGCATGGGTAGGGCCCGGGGTCCTATCCCTAGCACTGGGAGAAAAAAGTTTATCAGCCTATAAAGGGCCTAAAAGAAACCTAAAAAAGTCAATAACAGCTGAAATTAAAGTGACAAGAAACATAATTCAGAGAATGGGCAAAATTTCTTCTAAAAGATTTTAAAAGTCTAAAGTTGGGCTGGGTTGTAGCTCAGTGGTAGAGCACTTGCCTAGTATGTGTGAGGCACTGGGTTGGATCCTCAGCACCATATATAAATAAATAAAATAGAGGTTCATTGACAACTAAAAAAAAATCAGAGAAAACAAGTTGTTGGTTGTGGGTAGGTAGGACTGTACTGTCAATATACGAGATGTAGGGCAAGCAAGAGCATTATTAGAATAAAAAGTAGCCAGGCATGGTGGTGCATGCCTGTATTCCCTGGAGAGGCTCAGGCAGGAGGATTGCAAGTACAAAACCAGCTTCAGCAATTTGGCAAGGCCATAAGCAATTTAATAAGACTTTGTCTATAAATGAAAAATAAAAAGGGCTGAGGATGTTGCAAAGTGGCTAAGTGCCCCTGGATTCAATTCCTGTAAAGAAAACAAAACAAAACAAAAACATCAGTCTTACTGATACAAAACATTAAGTCAGGTGACAGATTAAAGAACCTAAAAAACAGAAGGGCTGGGATGTAGCTCAGTGGTAGAGCAACGTGCCTGGTATGTATGAGGCCCTGGATTTGATCCCCAGTACTGCGCACACACACAAATTAGTAATTTATTAAAAGGGCTTAGAGATAATTGTGTCTAAGGAAAATGTGTAAAGGAGTGGGACAGAGTTATAGTAAGAGAATATCCTGCAATTGAAAAAGAAACTTACAACCCTTTAAAGGTTAAGCAACCATAGAATGATATCTGTACTTAAACTGTTTTAAATTTGGAAATCTTTTTGGGGGAGAGAGGGGTACTTGGGATTGAACTCAGGGGTGCTTGACCATTGAGCCGCAACCCCAGCCCTATTTTGTATTTTATTTAGAGACAGGGTCTCACTGAGTTGCTTATTACCTTGCTTTAGCTGAGGCTGGCTGTAAACTCAAGATCATCCTGCCTCACCTACAAAACTGCTGGGATTACAGGTGTGTGCTACCATACCTGGCTAATAATTTGGTTATCTTTAAAAAATACAGATCAAAGGAAAGATGAGTATTCAAAAGAATGCAAATTATTATAACTTCATATTTAGTAGCACAGATAATAAAAATCTGGGAATGATAGACAGATATTTTTAAGATATTTAAAGGTGAAGGCTTGCCTTAGAGACTAATTACCTAGTTGAGAATTTCCTATACCCTTTTCTTTATCTCTCTTTCTTTAAAGTAGAAAGACTTTTATAGATCCATAAACATAGAAAAAAATATGTAGATCACTTTTTATAGCTTGACAGGTCTTTTTATTTTTTATACTTATTTTTTGGTACAGGGGACTGAACCTAGGGTGCTTAGCCACTGAGACACATCCTCAGTCATTTTTTTTTTTTTAATTTTCTATTTTGAGACAAAATCTTGCTAAGTTGTTTAGGGCCTCACTAAGTTGCTGAGACTGGCTTTGAATTTGTGATACTCCTGTCTTGGCCTCCTGAGTCACTGAGATTACAGACATGTGCCAACATGGCTGGTGATAGACAGCTTTAAGACGTCTAGAAACAATTATAATATATTGCCAAGTTCTTTCAACTAGAGAACAAGATCTAAAGAAAGTTTGATATTGTATTGTTAGCAACGAACAACTATTATAATGGACTGAATTAAGATGTAACTGACAAAAAGACAATGAAAATTGCTTTTAAGGATACTAAACAATATTTCTTAAGGGATCTGGAGGTAGAAGAATGGAAAAGAGGGAGTAGAAGAGGAATATAGAAATTCTGTGCTTTTATTGCATTGAGGGAATTCAAAGTGGTTATCTATTATTTTTGACTGATTATTATTTTCAAGCATAAACTAGAATAAATAACATTTTTGTAAGTAGACATGCTCTATGTGTGATAAATATGCATAAGGTTGCTGTATATTTAAAATATTACTAAAGAAAGAAAAATATACAAAATAGAAAACATATAAATGGAAAAAAAATAAAAGCAGAGGAGGAAATTCAGGAGAATTAAAACTAGAATAATTATAACAAATGCAAATGTGCTAACTTCTATAAAAATAAGACTTTCAAGGGCTGGGGTGTAGCTCAGTGGTAGAGCCTAACATGCACAAGGCACGAGGTTCAATCCACAGCATTGACTGAAAAAAGAAAAAAAAAAAAAAGACTCTTAGATTGTATTGAAAATAGTGAGGATGATTTAAAGTCACTTTTGGAAAGAGACAGTGAAACATACATAATATGTTAAACATACATAAACAAATATTGATAAAGTTTTAAAAACCAAAACATGATATTGTACTTATAAAGAATACATTGAAAACAGAAAGGAAATCATTCTTTTTGATGAGGTAGATGTTGGAGTAAAATGGGAAGTAACTGTAGGCAGAGGAAATAGGTCCCTGGAGGCATGCCGTACACCTTGTTCCTGGCATCTCCCTGCTCCTTGGCTTCCCAGCTGCAGCTGTCCTCTGCCACCCACGTCCACCATGTTCTACCTCACCTCGGGTCCACAGCTATGGAGTCAGTTGACCATGGACTGACACTTCTGAAACCATGAGCCCCAAACACACTTCTCCTCTAAGTTGTTCTTGTCAAGTATTTTGGACACAGCAATGTAAAGCTGATTAATGCACCCTCCCACCAGAACTGTTTGTGAATCATTTTATGCCCCTCCTTATCTATGCCCCTCCTTATCCACGCCCCTCCGCTTCTGAAAACACCTACTGGGCTTTCCATAGACAGGTCCTGCCTTTTCTGCACCTTCACCTCACCCCATTTCCCACTTGCTGTGCATTCCAACAACATCGAAGTCTCATGTGAGGTCACCTCTCTGTGGCTGTGCCATGTGTTTTTCATGGCCTGCAACAGTCAGCAAACTTTTTTTTTTCTTCTTGAAAAGAGGGCTGGGATGTAGCTCAATGGTAAAGAGCCTTTCTTGTGAGCACAAAGCCCTGGGTGCAATAGGAAGGAAGGAAGGAAGGAAGTCAAAGCTTTAGCATTTACATAAGTGATAAGGGAATATTAATACTAAAATATGGATAGCGTAGATAAAATGTCTCCCAATTTATGCAAAAGCAAATAGAAAATAATGGTAGAAACTGTGAAACAAAGTTATAGACACAAATGACAAGATACATTTATCAGATTGTGATAGAGCAAGCTGATTGGGTTTCTTTAAAAAATATTTTTTAGTTGTCAATGGATATTTATTTTATTTATTCATTTATTATTATCAACGTCGTTGTCGTTGTCATCATTACTATTACTGTTAGGTACTGTGCTTTGAACCCAAGGATGCTTTGCCACTGGGATACATCCCTAGCCCTTATTTTGTATTTTGAGACAGGGTCTCATCTGACTAAATTGCTTAGAGCCTTGCAGAATTGCTATGGCTAGCCTTGAATATGTGATCCTCCTGCCTCAGCCTCCCAAGTTGCTGGTTTATAGGCGTGCACCACCATGCCTGGCCTCTGTCACTTTATATCTGTGTGAATTAGAGTATGGCAGTTACCTTCTCTGTGCCTCACTTTCTTTACTTGTGAACCTGGGGGTAAATTGAAACTTACTTACTTTTTCCTTGTGAACATTTCATGACTTAGTGTATGTAAATTGAAGCAGAATAAGGCCTTTCTATCTAAGTGACATATTGGCAATAAACAAGTGACACTTACCACAGGAATTAAATAGAAGAAAGTACATAACTGCAACAATATCTGTATTCATTTCACAGTAACATTGATCATGTGGAGGTCAAATGAGATGAAACAGATAGCAAAATGAGGGATTATATATGCCACATTCCTTTGCACAATAAAAGACAAACTAAGGAAATAAGGGATATAATACAAGTATTTCATTGAAAAATCTTTAGGCTAGGACAAAGCAATTCTTAAAAAACATTATTCCGTTTTTTTTTTTTTTTTTTTTTTTTTGCAGGGGCTTACTGGGGATTGAACGCAGGTTTGCTTTACCACTGGGCTACATCTTCAGGCCTTTTCATTTTTTATTTTGAGGATCTTGCTAAATCATTAAGGACCTTGCTAAGGTGATGAGGCTGTCCTCAAACTTGGAATCCTTCTCCCTAAACCTTCCAAATCCCTGGAATTACAGGTGTGTGCCACTGTACCTGGCTAACTTAAATATTTATAAAAATAAAGATGATGATAGCTACTGTTGACAATTACAATAAATTTGGGGAGGGTTGTGGCTCAATGGTAGAGTGCTTGCCTCATACATGTGAGGCACTGGGTTCCATCCTCAGTGCCACCTAAAATAAATAAATAAAATAAAGGCACTGTGTTCATCTACAACTAAAAATATGTATAAAAAACAAAACAAAAAATCACAGGCTCAGACAAAAAAGAAGAAATTACAATAAATATATCATCTGAAATTTAAAATATTATGGTCTAACATTTTTTCCAAATATTCAAAACAAAAAAAGCAGAATATTTTTAAGATGTTAACTTTAAGATTCAAAAATTGATTTTCTTAGTCAGATATGGTGGTACATGCCTGTAATCCTACCTTCTTGGGAGGATTGTAAATTCAAGGCTATTCTGTGCAACATAGTGAGACTCTGTCTCCAAAAAAAGAAAAAGAGAAAGAAAGAGAAGAAAAGAAAAAGGAAGGGATGAGGATGTAGCTCAGTGGTACAGTGCCATAGGCTTCAATACTCAGTTCTAGAAATTAAAAATAAAAAAGAATATAAAGTATTATCACTAAAATTATGGGGAAGATATTTCAAATTACTATATCTCATCTATCAAATACTCCAAGGAGATTAAATGTAAACAGTATACCCTTCAAACTAAAGAAATTAAAAAAGTAGAATATTCTTAAATTAATGAAGCAATAGAAAAAATAAGCCAGATTAGTATGATTATATAAAATTTTTTAAAATTTAATTAAAAAATAGTAAAATATAACCAGTTGAAAATGGAAGTAGTGCAATGGAGAAATATTTGAGATGGTTAAAAACTTATTACAGTTTATGGGGACATTTTTCAGATTAAGTTCAAGAGAACTTGAGGTCTAATGGCTCACACCATGGAAACAAAATAGCAAAAGACTGACTTATTTCATCTCTAGATAATTTAAAATTTAATCTTAGAGTTGTGATATAGATACCTAGTAAATGGACAAATACCCAATACTAATAAGAAATTGATATATTTTTGTTACTTGTGTACTATTGACCACTCGGGACAGGAATCATTAAAATGATTACTTTTTATCTAGTAATCTTAATCTTGAAAATTTATCTCAGGGCTAGAATTTAAAGAAATGAGAATCTCTTGTGTGGAGATATTTTAAACAGCATATTTATTTATCAAAAAACATCAAAAGGTAAACAGAAGAGCTTTGAAACCATCCCAAGTACTCACAATTATAGTGATTGTTGAAATATGGGGCATCCATTAAGTGATATAAAGTGTATGTTAGATAGAATTATGGAAGTTTATTTGTTAAATAATAAATAAAACAATAGGACGAAAGATGTAACGTAGGCTAGAATTGCTAATTTGTGAAAAGATTGTTTAATTCATTCATACAATCATTGTTTTACTATAAAACAATAGGTAAGTTTTATGTTATTAAAATTTGGAAGTTTTTTGTAAGTGTGAAGGGAAATTCATGATAGGATTTTCATTTGTGTAGTCACATCCTCTAACAACCCAGAGAATCTAAAAATCCACTAACAGGGCAATGGGCATAACTCAGTTGGAGAGAACTTTCCTCTCATGCTAAAGACCCTGGATTTGGGGTTTGATCTGTAGCACTGCACAAAATCCCTCCCAGTTTACCTGTTGTGCATTTATCTTATAGTGCTTGTTTCAGTTTCTGGTAAATGTTTCTCAGAGTGGAAAACCTGGGAAGCCCAGCATTGCAGAGGTCACCCAGCACAGATCTATTCTGCAAATTAATGATACTCTGGAAGAGAAAGAAGTCTGTAGGTTCGTTTCTGCTTTGATGTCACCTAACTGAAATCTGAGTTTCTCTCTGCTTTTTTTCTTATCGGGTTTTGTTTGTACTCTCTTAAATATATTTTTCTCTCTTCTGATCTGTACCCAGGAAGGGGTATCATTTTCCCTTGGTGAATTAGGAAAGTCCAACTCTGTGGTCTAATCTAGCCATTTGTCATATTTTTTAATCTTTTTTTTTTATTAGCTACACATGACAGTACAATGATCTTGACAATTCATACATTTGAATCAAATGGGGTATAATTTCTCATTTTTATGATTGTACAGGTTGCAGAATCACATTGGTCATACAGTCACCTATATACATATTTTTATCTCATCCTTTTAGGCTGGAATACAAAATTTGGAGAATTTGGAAACTATTCTGTCTTGGTAAAGGACTCTTACAATGGAGTTGATGAAATTTTGTGTGACCTAGTTGTTAATAAGAATCCAGTTGACAGTGACCTTCGTATGTATATACTCTTTGTTGATTTTTTTTTAATTTGCATTTTCAGAGCTTTTAGTTTCTGAGTAATCTTTGTAAAGTGAAGCAGTCTATGGCATGTAAATGGAAACCTGGTTTACAGATATCTAGACCATTTAGTTACAGTATAGTTATATTTTTCTTTGATGCTAAAAATAGAAGAGGACTTGTGTATGCTAGTAAACCCTCTACCACCGAGTTATATCCCCAAGCCCAATTGTAAACCTTCAATTGTGTCATTGATGTACACTAAGAAAATTAGGTGATATATTAAAAATTGTATAATATGTTAACACATCCCCATATCATTGTTAAGCTTAATTACGAACATAAATAAAACAAAAAAGTTAATTCAATAGAAAGAAATAAGAAATAAGATAAAGGGCTTTCCTTGTTTTAGGATTTAGGGTATAGTGCTTCCTGTATATATCTCCTGATGTGAGCCTAGAGGACCCCTTACATTAGAAGGGATCCCAGAGATTCCTTTACATTAAGAAGCAATCATTCATTCTATAGTAATTCTATTGAAGAAAATCTGTCATCCTGAGCTCCCCTTAGATAATTGTTATCCTGTCTTCCAAGAAACAGTAATGAATCCTGGTGGCACTAATATATACTGTTCACAGAGAACTATTGGAGACCAAACTGAAAAAGAATATAGAAGACAATATGAAAGGGCCAATGTGGGACAATTTTAAGCATTAAAAATAAAAACAAATGTTATTGATGAAAAATAATGGATACATAAAAACTATGGGGTCATTATCCCTCCCCAATTAAAAACAAAAACAAAGTAATGCTTTGGTTGTCTTTAGAGGTAACTAAGGCACTTGACGTTGACTAGGGTGATTAAAAATATCAGTTGAAAAGACAGATTTAAACAGTATCCTATTTTAACTGTAATTGAAAAAGATAATTAAATAGTACTAGTTGATGAGTGTGGATTCTTTAGAGAATCCCAGCGAATGTAGCCGAATGGCAGGATATTTTGCAAGCCCTAATGAAATAATTGATTCAGGCAAAAATCCTCATTGGAGGGATCAGGATTTCACCAGCTCAACACATCCGCCAGTCACATGGTCAACTGCAGAAGGTGCTTCTTCAGAACTAGAAAATTATTGTAAAATTTTGTATGACATTGTGGTTATATTAAGGAAATAGTTCATTTTAAAGAAACTTTTGATTTTGAAATCGTTTTATTTTAGGTTTACAGACATGTTGCAAACAAAACAAAACAATTCCCAAATACCCTTCACCTGGTCTCCCTTATACCCTTAAACTGTATAATCATAGTAAGAGTAGTCCATATGCAATTATTGAAACCAGGCACTTAACATTCTTACAATATTGATCTATGTAGACTTATTTAAATTTTTCAAATTGTTCTTTTTGGATCCTAGACCAGAAAATGGACATCAATCTAGGATCCATGTGCATTTAGTTGTCAGTTCTTCCTTCATCTTGTTCAATCTAGGACAGTTTCTCAGCCTTTCCTTTTCTTTCATGATCTTGATAGTTTTGAAGAGTACTGGCTAGTATTTTATAGACTGTCCCTGGATTTGGAGTAACTTGATGTTTTCTCATGAGTAGGTAAATGTTTTTCATTTTTTGGTAGAATACTACCAGAGCGATGTTGTGACCTTCTAGCTATGTTATGTCAAGACTTAACAGTTTGTAATTCCGCTGGGTTATGAATTCTCATTATAAGGCCAAGGAGGGATGAGATAAGAGATGGACATAACTGTGTCTAGATGAAGATAGCAAAGAAATCACAACTCAGTTTGTGGTTCTCTTTACATTTGTTTATGTATAATCGGCTTCATGAGTTTACAAAAACTTGGATTCTTCATGAGGGGGAAAAAGGTTCATCAAATGAAAGATAAACTTCAAAATTAAATAGTGAACTTGAGGTGTTGAGTATACACACAGAAAACAGGCGACTCTCAATTGAAGTATTACATGGAATAAAGCCAGGAACCTGGTAAGCATTTCTATATTCATAAAGTTTCAATATACTCCAAGAATGTTAAGGACCTAGTATGGCAATCCCCAGAAAAATATTACCACTACTGAGAAACAATAGCAGGCTTTTAGCTTCAGAGGTAACCACACTGCATACTGTGTTAAAAACCAAACACGATTCCTTTATAGGTGAAGGCCTAAGTTTTGTTTTCCGAAAAGTTACACATGTGCACATTAAAAAGCCAGTAAAGGCATATTATAGAAACACAGCATAAAATACAAAAAACAAAATATTTCAGATTCTGAAGGAACTCCCCAAAGAAATTAAAATATTCTTGCAAGAATCAGAATCCTTGAACAAAAGTGAAAACTGAAAATATTTCCTGAGATTGTGCCAAGTGAGAAAGATATTGAGCAATTAATTCTCTTCTCTTTTCCAATAAACTTAAAGGGCTTGTGATGCAAAGGCCCATGCCTTAAACAAGTATGCATGATAGGTGTCCAGTACAGCGCCCAGCACAATGCATAGTGAGTGTCCCATTCATATTTCGTTAGCTGAATTAATGAAGAAAAGGCATGCGTTAAATGCTAAGTTCTTGGTTGCTTGTAGGTCAAAAACAAAAACTGAATATTGAGAAAAATATCAAAGTCCTACTTGGAGAGATCCATAATCGACCTGTAGAAAGTAAATAATCCAACTTACAAACATAAATCACAGAGCACGGCACATGACAAAGTGTTAGCCTAAGTACAAAATGAATAAGTGGAAAAAGGAGCTTTCAGTGTGAGTGAGCATCCTTAGGGAAAGCTCCCAAAGCAGGGACCTGACACAGACAGAAATCAACCAGGAGGCAGCCAAGCAAGGCCTGTTGTTCATCCTCTGGTGCTCTTGCCTGGAGGCACAACTGGCACAGCCCGCGGTATTTCCTCCACGCCACCTGAAGCCCAGGCATGCTCACTGACCAATCACCTGGCCCCCACCCCGCGCCAGTGGACAGGTAGGTGCAGGTTCACTCACACACTCAAGTGCAGCACCTACCCACCTCCTGGGCAACCTGGGCGGCAGGGTGGGCTGGGTGGGCTGCTGCACCCAGTCCCCATCAGTGGGCACCACAGGGACCAAAGGTAAGAAAGATACCGGTTGCTGTGCACCATGGCCACCCACCGCAGGTCCCAGCGGCGCCTCCTGCAGGCAGGAGCACCCTAGCAGGAAAGAAGCGCCTGACATTCTGGTTCAGGCACCAACTTCCAGCTGCCACAGGCCGCGGAAATAAATGGCCGCCTCAGCTGGTCCACCTTTGGTGATGGGTGGAGCGTGAGTCCTGGCCAGCAGATACTTTTTGCCCTGAACAGCCCAGGGAGCAGCTTGAGCAGGACCAGAGCAGTGCCGCCATGCCGCCAGAGTCCCGCAGAAGACAAGGTGGACAGTGCACATCCTACCTGCAGAGTCTGGATCAGCATATAAAGCCTCCAGTTGGTGGGCCACACCAGGAGCCACTTACCAACCATCCCCCCCAAGGAAAGCACAGGACTCTGCACCTATTTCAAATCAAAGGCTGAATGCTCTGATAACCCACAGCCTTGGGCCAGGGTTCTGCCTGCTTCCTCACAGGCTGTAGCCTCTGTCCCAAGACCCAGAACTTGACATTCACAATCAACATACCCCCTAGAAGATTCTAACAAAGTTTTCTTTTCCTTTACCCACCCCCAGTACAGCTCCTCCCCCAGCTTCCCATACCTCTTCAGACTCCATGGCCAGGGGTGTTGCTACCTCAGAAAGTCCATTTGTCTCTGGTGATGGGGATGCTTTGGGCTACAAGGAACCACATTCCCAACTAAGTAAGCTCTGAAAATGCTGAGAAATTTAGAACAAAACCTGGAAGGATGACATCAGGCATTACCTACCCCAGGTTTGCATAGAACAAGGGGAAATGGCCATTTAGTGAGCAACCTCTTTATACTACTACTTGGACAAAATATAAGAACCTTTCCCAGGACCCCATTGGCCAGAGTGAGGTCATGGGCAGCCCTCACAAAAAGGAGCCCATAAGACTCTGATCAAGTGACTGGGAGAGCCAGGACTGGTTTGACCGCTCACCATTCCTTTCCATTTTGCCTAGAAAAACCATGCAGCAGGCAGAGAAGTGGGCACGGTCCAGAGGCAGACCTTGGCTTCCCCACTCACTCCCTTCTTTGCCAGTGTCCTACCTGGGCTGCAGCCTCATCCTTTCCTCCCCTCAGGTGCACCTCTGGAACTGCATCTTCCTCGACCTGCCTCAGATCCTCTGTCTCCCCAAATAATGAGATGCTGAATCCTCAAGCATGATGCTCAGATGGGCACTCTAGCACCCAATTGTGCTGGTGGATCTTTAACCACTCTTGTTGGTTGACTTACCATCACTATCACCATAATACCCGATAAACTCCCTAGAGGAGGAAAAGCTCATTCCAGCTCATGGTTTCAGTGCTTCAGTCCATGCCTGACCGACTCCATCACTCTGGCCCTGAGGTGAGGCAGAACATCATATTAGAAGGTGGAGGAATGCTTCTCAGCTCATGGCCACCAGGAGAGAGAGGGAGAGAGGGAGCTTCACTAGCCAGGGACAAAATATAAACAAAAAGGTACACCCCCAATGACCTGCTTACATCCTACTCACCTATAATTATCACCCATTGACCCCTTCAAATTATTAACCCACCAAATTGATTAATCCCTTAATTATGTTACAACTCTCAGGATATAATCATTGCACCTCTGAACAATTCTGTATTGTCTCACACATGAGTTTTGGGAGACACCTCCTATCTAAATATCATGTACCTTACGAGGTATAAACCTCCTCTCACTGAAACTCAAGGCCTTCGGCAATATGGCCATTGATAAAATAAAGTCAGTGCTGTTTTCATCTAAACCCTGAAAAGAACTGAGAAAGGGAAATGGCCTTCCTGATAACAGGTGGCTCGTCCATGATATCCACAAGTCAAAAAAAGCACTGCTAATAGAATGAAAACCTCAGGTAGGACCACATGGTAGTCATATCAAAAACTATGTGGAGACTAACTCTGAGGCAACAGAAATTACTGAGCCAACCTTTTTCTTACCAGGCATTACCTACCCCAGGTTTGCCCAGAACAAGGGGAAATGGCCATTTAGCGAGCAACCTCTTTACCAACATGGACTGTGACTCTCCAGTAATCTTCCCACCCCTGAGACAAAAGTACAAAAGTGATTGAGATGCTCAATCACCAAGCTGCCTCACTTCTTGACCCTGTCCTGACTCACATCTTGGAGTCATTGAATAGAAGACAGAATCTTCTAAGGGTCACTGCTCCAGGTTTCTTTCTGAAATGCTTGTGTGTGGCTGTGGAGCCACCAGAAATCTAGGTAAACTGACTCTGACCACAGGTGACAGCCTGGTGAGCTTCAATTGGTGGACATTAGCATCATGATCTTGTTTCTAATGTTATTTGCCTCCGGTCCCAATATCTACTTTAAAATTCAGAAGTATTTTCAGCATCACAGATTACTCTGAACAGGTCTCTACATCCAGCTGCCATTTTGCAAGAGATATGGAAGAAAGAGAAAGGAAGGTGTGTACAATATTCTCAATATGAATTAGCAAAATCCACATGTGAGGACCTCCATGGGTCCCAGGGCCTGCCACTATAACAAAGAGACCAAGGAAAAGACACACAGGGCGGGGAACCTGCAAACCAAGAACTGCACAAAGACATACCAGGTGGTGCATGGGGTGTCTCTCTTAGCCCTTGAGCATGTATGCCCTGGGGCTGGTAACTTCTGGAGGGAGGAGGGACTAGGGCTAGGATGCAGCCATATGGGATGCTGACAAGGTGCTGTTCTTGACTTGGTTCTAGGGTGTTCCACATAATTTTTCACTAAGTTACACCTTTTTCACTGTGGTGCCCTCCCCTGCTTTGTACTTGAATTGCCTTCCATT